ACACACACACACACACACACACACACACACACACACGCACGCACGCAGTCGCACACTAACACACACACACACACATGCACACACATCAAAACCACAAAATACAGATACACACGCACAAAAGACATAGAGTGGTGAGTGGATGGGGGAAGAGAAAGAAATTGCCAATAGCAATGTTCATTAACGCTCCATTTGTAATGACCAATTATATTTCACAATCTCTTTCGCTTTGTTTAGCTACACATTAGCATACATTTTATACTGTTTAAAAATATTTATTCGCTCACAATATTGTGTCTATCACTCACAAGCTGATAGGAAGAGACTAAGCAAAAGAAAGATAAGTTAAGTGACACTTGTTTTTAATGTACAACTCAAGTTCGATCATTTAGAAGGCGGGTTTCTAACCCTACCAGTCAGGGCCAACCTGGGCTGAGAATGATACATCTTCCCAGCAGAAAGACCGATATAAAAATTTCTCCCCGCTCGGGAATCGAACTCGGGTCTCCAACGTGAGACAACAAAATGCCTAAACGCTAAACCACATAAGCCTGTAGTCACGTCTCAAGAGACACCTTAAGTTTTAGTAAGAGTTTTGCGTCACTTGCAACACAACAAGGTCATACATGTATGAGTGCCACAGATTAGAGGGTGTTAAAACAGGGTAACAAACAAAAAATAGAAAGAGGGAAGATAAGGACGGTAGATGTTTAATAAGAGAGAGACACTTTTAAACCAACAACAAATGACAACAAGAAAAAAAAAACCCACTGCCACATAAAATTTGAAAAACAACAAAACAAAAAATGTTTTTTTTTACTGAAATAATTTTATTCAGCTTTCACATATTTTTTTCTCTCTCAATATTCAGTTTGACCATTTCAAGATTTCAGAGTCAAAGTAAAATGAGCGGGCAAGATCGCACATGTAAATCTTGGGGCGACACACATACATACACAATGACAGTGTAACACATGCATGATAATAGGCACACATTCACGAGGTAACACACATTGACAAAAATAATACACACTGACAATAAAGCACACGATAACACACTATGACAAGGTAGGTAACACATGAATAATAACACACATTGGCCAAATACATTAATGCACACTGACAAGGTAGCACGCACTGAAAAGGTAACACACATTGACAAGGTAACACACGTTAACACATGATGACATGATGCAACACATGCATGACAACACACATTGACAAGATAACACACATTGACAAGATAACACACATTGACAAGATAACACACATTGATATGATAACACACATTGACAAAATAATACGCACTGACAAGGTAGCACACACTGAAAAGGTAAAAGACACTGACATGGCAAAACATGATGGAAGCCGCATATATGTCAAGGTAACACACACTGACATGATAACACACACTGACAAAATAACACACACTGACAAGATAACACACACTGACAAAATAACACACACTGACAAGATAACACACATTGACAAAATAACACACTGACAAGATAACACACACTGACAAGATAACACACACTGACAAGATAAGATAAAGTAGACTGACAAAGTAGCAAAATCACAAGGTAAATCAAGATAACTTGCGATGACAATGACAAGATAATTACACTGACAAAGTAACACAATGACACGATGAATCACAATAACTTACGATGACGTAGACAATGTAACACACATTGATAACATAACAATTACTGACAAGAAAACAATAACTGACAAGATAACAATAACTGACAAGATAACAAACACTGACAAAATAATCACTGACAAGATAACACACACTGACACGTAGGTAACACAATGAATTGGTAAATCACGATAACTTACAATGAAAAGATAACACACGAAGACAAATTAACACACCGACAACAGTGCTACAAGCAGTACACATTACACATTAAAAATTTAAAATGTTCATGGTCTTCGTTTCATTTCAATTTATATTTTAAAACTTTTTTTGGGTGAAGTTTATCTTTTTAAATAATTTTTTTCTTAATCCATTTCTATATCAACAAGCCGACTGCCAGCTTGTCTGTCTACCTGTCAGTCTGCCTATTTGTGTGTTTGTGGGTAAGCATCCTTTCTCTCTTTCTCTCTCTCTCTCTCTCTCTCTCTCTCTCTCTCTCTCTCTCTTCCTTCCCAATCAGACATCGAATCGTTCTTATCCCTCCTCCTCCTCCTTTCCTATGAAACATCCTCTTTCTTATCTCGCCCTTCTTCTTTGGCTT